TTGGTCTGAACAATCCATTTTTTAAATTTTCCTTCTTTCGTCCTATTCGTTCTAACTCATAGGCACATGTTCAGCGGAATCGTTCGTACATTATGTGGACACATGATTGAAGAAGAAAAAAACTTTCTAAATTGATGATAGTGACGATGATCCTCTGGATTCAATAATAAAAAAATATCAACATAAAAGATGTTTCCTGAATGAAGGGATGAAGCTCGTAACCGATTTTATAGAAAAATTCATCTATGAGATACACTTATTTTAAAGCATATATTTGAGACTTGAGTGATTGCCTAAAAATATATTTTTTATCTCTTGTCAACTTAGTTTTTGATGGTTTCAAAATAAAACATTCATTCCTTTTCTTTTTGTCAATATAATTAGAAAATAAAACTTTTTTTTGAACTAAATTTCTCAACTTAAATTATTTCCCTCATTGATGTCAACTATTGTTTTCAACATTTTATAAGATACCGAAAAGAAAAAAAACAGCAGCATGTGTGTCGTTTCTTGTAAACACACGAGATAATCAACATGATCGATAGAACGAGGCTCGAAAGAAATATTGTTTCACTTTTTGGAAAAGAGGCTCATCATTTACAGCAATAATATTTTCGTAGTTTCCTTGGTTTATTTAGTAAATGAGCACATTGACTTTGTAAAATATATATATATATATATAAATGGCAATTTGCTAGCGTCCAAGGTAAAATGCATTGAAGTGAATTGTGTTCAGAAATGTGGTTTATCGTTTATGGGCAAAATAATAAACTGAAGAGAAAAGCAAAAATTAACAACCAAATGTATTTTAAGCAAATAGAAAAATTTAATCAGCTATTCTGTTCAATTCGATTCATGTTGATATTGAGTGGATATGAATTTGGTGAAGGTGTAGAACTTAACTGTTGCTCTAAAAGATATATTAAGATGAGTTTGATTCCAAATCAATGCCAAAAACACATATATCTAAATAAAAAATTTATTTAACATGTCGTTTGTTGTTTTACGAAATCTTTTCAAAACTATACCATCGTCATCATGACAATTAGTCAATTCTTTTGGAAGGTTGTCCTTCGATTAGTGATCCCATTGCAACCAGTCACAGCTTTCTTTTCATATTTTTTTCATGTGCACACACGTGCACGTAAGCAAAGGAAGATAGCAACGTCGTTAATAAAGAGAAATGGAACAGCCCTTTCTCCAAAAAGAGTGATCGAAAAAATTTCAATTGAAATTTTCATATTACAAATCAAACTTTGTTCTTTCTCAATTTTGAAAACAAATATTTCTTTATAACGAGAACGTAAGATATTGTGATGAGTTTTGTGCCTCGTTATGTTGATGAGCGCACCATTTTTGTTTGATTGTATAAAAACCAACTTTTGAAGAACAATCCAATGTACCAGAGCAAACAAAATGAATCAAGAAATTTTTAAATATCAATTTGTGAAATTTTTTCTCAAAAAAAATAAAATTGCTTTCTGGTCGACTAGGATATATCAAAAACAATATCGCTTTACTTTGATAAGTTCTATAATTATGCAAAACTTCAAAAAAAAAAGTCATGAAATATATTTATAAGATCAATCAAAGTCTTCATGTAAAATTGCTGTTGTCAATAAGTTTCAAATGTTTTTAGACCAGAATCATTATCCTCTGAATAACTGGGTATCTATATGAAACGAGACATGTACTACTGATTTTTTTTTACTAAAATTTTCTAGAAAATCTCGCATTTCTGTAATAATCGTTAAATAAAAAATCTCCTTCCATCAACAAAAGAAGTATTCATGGATCTATCGAACAACAAAGATTCAAAGCTCTTCAAAATGAAGTATATTGAAAAAAGTTTGTCCGAAATCTGATTATTAGTGCAAAAAAAACAGTTTTGAGAAAATGATTTTTAAATTTTATTAACATATTTTTTAGCATCAATATAAAGCATAAATGTACGACACATCTATCAAATATGGTTATTTCGGCACATAGGTACATCTCGTGACGATACATACAGCAATAAGGTGGCAGCGATTGAATCTGTCTTTATGATATCTTTTTTTATTTTTATACTTAGATTTGTATCGGAAGATACAGGAAAGCTTGACATAAGTTCAGGAGAACGACCGAGATTTTATAATAACGAGTGAGGCATAATAAATGGTCACGTTTTGCATTTCAATTTCTAATCACTTAATATGTTGTACTAAAACAATAAAATATACCAAAAGATGCAGCATAAAAGGCTCAACAATTTAGAAAAGAACAAATTATTCTATATGTATACCTTTTGTTCTCAAAATAGACAAAATTCAGAGCGATCAATTTTCAGTGCTGTGCACTTGATCATATTTTTGGTTAACGACCAATTCGCTTTTTTTTTATCTCATCGATTGCAGACAAGTATATTCGCTTACAAAAATATTTTTTATGAGTATACTCTTATGCTGAAAGACAAAGAAGAGGACATAAACCAAGAATCGAAGTATCCAAAAAAATTATGATGTGGTCAAGTGCTTCTAAAAATGGCTGTACGTCGCTAATTATTTTTAAACCTGGTGAAACATTGTCACACGAGAACTATATTGAAATTGTTCTCCTACATTCACAATTTGAAGGCAAACGACTGCTGAGTGAGGATTTCATCTACCAACAAGACAATACCACATCACACACACATCAAGAATCGTTAGCATAGTGTGAACAAAATTCTATGTAATTCATTAAGAGCAATAGATGACGACCAAACAGTCCTGATCTCAGTGTTCTAGATTAATAATTGTGGGAAGCTGTTACAAACAAAATGCAATGAGATAAAATTAAAAACTATGCTTCATTAATCGATGAGATTAAAAAAATATGATCAAGTTCACAGTACTGAAAAATGGTCGCTCTGAATTTTGTCCATTCTGAAAACAAAAGGTGTACATATAGAATAATTTGTTCGTTTCTAAATTGTCGAGCTTTTTATGCTGCATTTTGAGATATATTTTGTTTTTTTTAGTACAACGTATTAAGTGATTAAAAACTGAAATGTCAAACGGGACTATTTATTATGCTCCATCCGTTAATTAAATGAGCATCAATCTTAGAAATAAAGTATTGTGTCGATAATATTCTTTAATTTGTTTCTTTTTTTCATGACTAATTGGATAGAGATCGTTTTTAAGAGATCTTTCTTTTGAGTCTTCAAATAAAAGATACTGTTCGTGATAGAGCAAGGCTTCGTTTTCATAAAGTCTAATTGTGAATATAAATTATACAAAAAATAAACCAATGATAATAAATTACAAATAATAGAACTCATTCTATCAAAATTGTTTATTATCACCTTGAATAGATTTGTTTTTTTTTTCTTCTAGTATTTGACATGAAAACTTTGTTCTTGTCTTGAAATATGATATGTTAAAATTCAGTATATTGATTAGTAAAAGCATAATTCTAACATTATGATATGAGTAAAATAGATTGATATCTATTACATTCATAAAAATTATTCTTGTCGATCAATATAAACCATGATGAGTAATCGAATGAAAATGGGATATTAGATGCATTTTCATGACAATACATGGTCAATCCTTTGCGTACATGATTGACGTGTAACGAATGCTTGTTTTACCTTATTTGAATCACGCACACTATCATATATTCGTATACGCAATTTATACGACATGTGATTGGGATTTAAAGCATCACTAATGTGCATGTGTCTATTTTTATACATTTTGCTTAGGTGTATCTATAGAACGACATGCTATTTCACAACTAAATGGCATGGGTAAAAACCCACCAAGCTGCATACGATTCAAAATTGTGCGTTGGCTATTTTTTACGGAGGTTCCTATTACTATATAATGTACATACAGTATGTTGAAATATTCATAATCATTATTGAAGGCTCTGTAGTGAAGTACAAAGTAAAGAACATTTGACAATATAACATTAAAATCATGCTCCGATTCGGTATCAATATTATTCTATTTGGCATCTTTGTTTCGATTTCGTTTGCTAACAATGATTTAAACGATGTACGATGTACACTAAGACAAGATTTTTCTGAAAGTGCGAAGAGTTCTGTAAGTGAATTATGTTTACAAGCTAAACTAGAGAAAGATGCATCAAATAATAAAAATTATATATTTACTTATTCGAATGGTACTGGTCCTGGATTTTCATATGGTGATGGAGGATTAATTGCTGCAGCATCCGTAAGTCTACATTTTTGTTTAAAATTTTTCTTAAAATAGTTATTTAGGTTAGAAATTGGCCTGCATTAATTAATCAAGGTGTTTCTATGGTTGTTCTTTATTTAAAACCGTGTGGTTTGAATTTACCTCATATTCATCCACGTGCAACAACTATTTCTTATGTTGCTAAAGGAATTATTCGAACTGGCTCATGGAGTGAAAATACCGGTCAATTTCATGCTATCACATTAAAGGCCGGCCAAGGTACTACATTTCCAGCAGGAGCATTACATTTTGAACAAAATATTGGTTGTGATGACGCTATTGTCGTTGCTGCATTTAATTCTGAAGATCCTGGTACTGCTCAATTAACAGAAGGCATTAAAGTATTACCTTTAGATATATTAACCACGTCCTTTGGTAGCGAATCACAATATCAAATTGATCAATTACGACGAAATTTTCCAAAAACACCTATCAAAGGTATTGCTTCATGTTACAAAGCATGTGGATTGGATAAAAATGGAAATAAGATAAAATAAAATAAAATCAATATATACAAGATTCTCCTATTTTATCTTCAGACTTCTTATAAAAATTATTGTTTTTTTGTATATTTTCATTCATTTGTATTTTAATAATATGATATTTAACCTCAGAGACCATGCCATTATAGTATATCGATAAAAATCTTCAAAAGTTTTGCTAATTTTGCAATATGAACATGACGACTTGAAAATTCTCAAGCATTTCGATATTTGTTACCGTTGTAATCACTAAAGAAAAAGTAATTTTTGTCATCATTGTATATTTCAAATGTCAATCTACAACCAAATTAAATTATTCAATTCAAACTTTAGCTGAACCCTGAATTTCGTCAGTTATATGTTGGCGAATAAAATTGGTATGCAACAAATTCATAATGTATTCATTTTGCTGTCTAAAATCATGCTTTTTTAAAAGTCTTTCTTTCTGAGCAATATTAAAAAATAAGTTAACTTTTTCTTGTTTTATCGAAGAGCAAGTGCACTTTTAACGTGTTAAACATCATTCATAAAGAAGAGCTATTGATTTCAAATATAAATCACGCTCGTCGATTATTATATAAAAGAAATTTACTAGATTGTAATTGGAGCGCAAGTCTGAAAGTAGCGACCCATTTCTGTATTAATCTCTGTTAAAATCTTAATTATTTATTTAGAACAGTCCAAAAAAGTAGTGACACTATTACTTTATTTTCATATAGCAAGTTTGAAGAAATTTTCTTTTTTTATGTAGTGATAGAGAAGACAATGCTCTATTTTTCTGTGCTACTTGATTACTCTTCAGCTAATATCATACAAATAAAATTTCGATAAGAATGGTTTTTGTGTGAAACTTGACTATAACATAAGATCATATTATTATCCATGTGTGTTCTCTTGTTGTTTTTTTCTTTGTTCTTCTTTTCTCTTCTCTTTTTTTTTCTTTCATCTTTTTTTCTCGTCTCTCCTAATGACTAGCCGCGCTTGCATACATATATATTAAGACGTTTATCTTGTTTGTTTTGTGTGCATGTATGGTTTATTCATACATTTTTGCGAAAGTCAAAAAAATAAAGTTAGGCTAAATTTTAACATTGTTCACCTGTTTCAAATAAATACGGAAAGCTTTCGCTTCTACATTAAAGTGCGTATCACACTTAACATTTAACCTAGCATTATTCATGATGAATTATATTCTGTTCACAGTGGTCAAGCTCCTTCTCTTAGAACAGTTGAGAGATAGTTTATGTGGTTTCGTAAAGGTCGAAAAAAAGTTGAAGATGAAGCAAGCTCTCGCAAGCCTGTCACTATAACAACATCTAAAAATATTGAACAGGTACACCTTCTTATCGATGATGATCTTTATATTATAATAGAAGAGGCGGAAGAGCAAATTGGTCTAAGTTATGACATCATTCAGCAAATCATCTGCGATCATTTAAAGTTGACGAAAATTATCGCTCGTTGTAAACCCAAACATCTGATCGATTTTCAACGGACAGAACGAGTTCGAATATGCAAACAAAATTTAGCAAAATTTTAAGAAGGAATACGGCACCAATAGAATGTGATGACAGATGATGAGTCTTGGTTTCTATCATAAACAAATGAGTCGAAAGTCCTCAACTGCAGTATAGGTGGCAAGAAGAGATCTTTCACCTATCATGGTTTGACGCAGTAAGTTTGCTTCATGAACCTTATTTTTGATCTTTTTTAAGTCAACTAATTCTGTTCTGATTCATCATATGAAATGGGGATAAACTGTCACTCACCAGTATTATATCAACAATTGTTTGCAACCTCTCGTCAATGAAATCAAACATCAAAGACCCTCATTTGGTACCCATGGTATTAAACTTTACCGTGATAATAAAAGACCGCATATGCATAAAGATGTGTCCAATCATCTTGAGTTGGAAGATATCACAGTAATACCACATTCACCTAATTCTCCTGATCTGGCACCATGCGATTTTTGATTATTCAATTTAATTAAACAGTATTTAAGTGATGAAAACGATTTGAAATCATTGTATAATGCTGTAACCAAGTTCATGTACTCTTTGGATAAAGAAGAGTATAGAAAAACTTTTGATATATGGATTCAATGAATGTAGTTGAGTGTGGATAACCAATGTGATTATTTAAAACATTTGAAGAAATAAAAATTTCTTGAATTTGTTTCTCTATTTGTTTTCTGTTCTAACATCATTACTTTTTGTACACTCTAACATGTATGGATGGTCAGGCATTTGAAGAGACGAGAAAAAAAAGATACGGGAAAAGAGAAGAACAAAGAAAAAAAAACAAAAAGAGAATACACATAGATGATAATATGATCTTATGTTACAGTCAAGTTTTGCACAAAAACAGTTTTTATCGAAATTTTATTATTATGATATTAGCTGAAGAGTGATCAAATATCATAGAAAAATAAAGTAATGATGCCACTACATTTGGATTCCCCTACATATATCAGTAAGAGACTAAAATTGTTCATTACTTTCACAGGATCATTTTATAAATCCTCTAGTGCAAATAATTAATTTAGATTTTTACGCGACAACTTAAGTGAAATATGATCATACGAAGTTGGATCACAACTATTTATCGAACATCAGTGCCTTTATGATTATTAGTTATATTAAAAACATAACTCGAATCTTGAAAATGTTTACTTTCGAGAGGCACTATCATTTTTGTTCGGTAAAATCATGTCTCTTCGGTTCGTATAATATTATCTTATCAATGGAATCCGGCGAGTGGGAATGAAGAGCAATTGTGCATCGAATGTGAGTGATGGGATGGGTCCTTTCTACATCCATATAATACGTATCGAGTCCTTGTGATGATTCATAAATGATTTCTTTCTTAATACATAAAAGACTAATAAGAAAAAAAAACATTTTGCTACTTCCGTTCCCTGTCTATTTGGCTACTGATATTAATCATGTAGCTTCTCAAAAGAGATACCTTTTCAAATACTATACAACTACTAAATGATTTAAATAGCACTAGCTCTTAAATAACTAGCTACATTAAACGAAAATTTGTTACGAAGCAATCAACTATTTAAACAGTATCATAACTATGTAAAAGATTTGCTAGGTATTCAAGAAAATGAATATAGCTATTAAATAATTTGAATAGCTAATTCGTTTCAAACAAAATTTCGTATTGTGCTTCTTCAAGTAACTAACTATTTGAAAATCTAGCAGTATTCAAACATTATCATAGCTACTTAAAATGTATTTGACAGCTAATTAAAAATAGATAAACAGTTTTTCAAAGACTTGAATAGCTGCAACATTTGTAACAACATTTGATCTATCGATCTTCATCATATTATAACCTATTCAAACCTAACGTTATTAAAAAATATTGTAGCTATTTTAAAGATTTGATAACTATTCAAGAAAAAAAATATACAGGTTTCAAATCATTTAAATAACTGATTCTATTGTGTGATAATTTTTATTTATTGTTTTTTATCTGTCGTTTTAATGTATTATACCATATTTTGATATCTGAGTATTGACCAACAGAAATACGCAACCAATTAATGATATATCTAGTTAAGGCGACAAAATGCAATAATGAGAGTGTTATTGATTTTTTCCTGCTCATTACTATAACTTCGTCATCACACTTTCTTTCTTTTCATTCCTCTAGGAAATTATACCTTTTATCATATCAAAAGCATGCAGCATACGTCAAATGCAACAGACGATGAACGTCATCGTTGCGTCTCATCGAATTATGTGAAATATGCTCTATTGATATGTTTTTGAGTCATCATGATATATTCACAAATACAATATGATTAAGAAGTATCCTCGAACGCGCTTGATTAAATTTTCTACAACTATCTACAATGTTTGTTCGTTTAGAGTCAGAAAGGTAGCCGTTTGAGACGGATAAAAAAAACTGAATGCTGTCAGATTATTGACAAAAAATCGGTGTGCTGTCGGCTTGATTATTATATTGAAGATCGCTATCAGTGTTGAAGTATTTCAAATAATATTTGTAAATATCGCTTGAAGTTTTATGTCCAACCAATGTAAAATTTTTTACAATAACTTTCTTTTTAATACCGCATTGAATTAATGATTTAAATGTATTTAAAGATTTTATAGTAGTATAATCGCCGAGAGTACCAATACCTTTTAGAAAACAAATAAACATGATCTAAAATCTTAAAATATTAACTTGAAAATCAATAGAACACTTATGATCTGGTCGATATTAGCTATTATCGATGTTTATGAAGTGCTCTCAATGGATATTCGTAGGCCTTGCTCAATTTAAGATATGTTATAGAACTTACAATCTTGCATATTTTCACGGAAGCTGTTTTTAGAAATATTGAAACCCCGATTTTTTACGAATATTTTAACGAAAAGCTCTGAACATAAAGATCCTGTGCTAAGGGCGGAGGTGTATTATAGAATATATATCAAGAACTGCTTGATTGATCGAACTGAATTTTATGGTAACTATATACATCAATGAGTTCGACTGGCAAAAAAAAATTTGCAACCGAAACGATTGAGTTATTAATATTTGATGTATCTCATTTATAGAGACAAAACTCACTATCTCAGATGACTTTGGGTTCTATATCTCATGACTCGAAAGAAATAGAGGCATGAAAAATTTGTTATAGCTAAAACATCAAAATTTTTCTTAACTAAAAATTTCAGTTCCGTAAAACTTTTCATTCACCCAAGAGAACCTTTTCACAAGTGAATTTTTGACAACATCTAGATTTTCAGTCGGCATTGCCTGCCAAGAATTTCGCCGCACTGAAAGTTGACATTGAGCCAGCCAAAGGTTCATGTACAATCTACGATCTCATGAAAGAATCGGTATGGAGTTTCCAGCAAGATCTCAGTGAATAATTTATCCTTGAGAATTTCAAATGGAAAGAGATTATTCTGCATTGAATCCTATTTGGTCATAAAATATCGTCTTAATCATTGTATTCAGTTAACTTTAGATGAAAAAGATCATGATCA